GTAAGTTTTTAGTATAATTCACTTTTTTATCAGAAGCATACATATCCATTAAATATCCACGTCAAAAGGCAACCTTCATAAGAAGGTGCCACTCAATTTACCTAAAATGTAAGGGTGGTAACCAACCCCATTACCCGAAAAAATCTCCTTGTAATAAACAAATAATTCTTACTTTTTTACGAAATCAAATGGACACGTATTAGCAGGTTGTCATAAAAAGCAAAAATGTATTTTTCTATGAAAGTTCTGAACGTAAATTGTAACTTAAAAACAATTTGATTTATTTCAAAAAGAGTTGAACTCAATAAAAACACCTTTAAATCTTCAAATTATCTCGAAAACTAATCGTTACTACTTTACAGAGATGTAAAGATATTCGAAAGACCTTTAAAACAAGGTGACACTCGACCTACTTTCCCTATCTAAATAAGGGTTGTTGGACGCACCCCTCCGAGGGGGTGCGTAGTACAAAAATCTGATTAGTCTGAAAGGTGTCCCCCTTTAATTAGAAATCGACGTGTCCATGCTTTTTTTAAACATCTTACTTTCTATATTCAAAAACGGCTCTGTTAAGTCTTCGTTGTTACACACTGTATATGGAGTAGTGTATAAATTCACAGGGCAGAGCATTATATTGTTTGATAGAGTTGTAAATAAAACTACGAGAATAGCAGGCTGTCGAGTGTTTTGGAATAATAAAAGTGTGACGGTTTCGTGTTCAAGAATTATTCTGTGATTTGAAAGTTTTATATCTTTCATAAATATAATTTGGCTTTTTGTAAATGAGAAATTTATGTGTATTGACGATTAGGTGGAGCTGCCAGGTTTTACCAATCAGTAACCAACCTGACTCCTCGAACTTGGGGGATATATGGTCGAATTTTCTCACACCATAAGAAAGACGAATGCAATTGTTTTGTATTTTTGTAAGCGATTTACATCAGTTTGTATCAAAGCAGGCCCGTAGATTAAATCGCAATAGGCTAATCTAGACAATATGAGGGTTTCGCAAAGTTTCAACTTCAATTTGGAAGTCATAATATCTCTACTTTGATAGTGTTGACGTTAGATACTGTATGACCTACGACAAAGTGAATTTATATGTTTGTGAAATCTCAGATCAGCATCTAGCCATAAACCCAAGTTCTTGCTTTCTGTAATTGTTTGTAGTGAGTCCTGTCCAAGTTGGATTTCAATTCTTCCTTCAATTTCCTGTCTTTTGTGTTTCGGGCCAGAAAGTATAAGCTGAGATTTTTTAGAATTCAATTTCAGGTTATGGGCTATAGATAGATCCAGTAACTTTTGTAGATCGCTTTTAATTTTTTCCATTGCCACCTGCCAGTTACTTGGATGAAATCGATAAACTGAGTGTTATCTGAATAATGATGAACTGTGCAATGATCAATTATTTTATGAAAGTGAGAGAACAGAAGTGGGCCAAGGATATAGCCCTGAGGTACTCCATAATGAACAGGTAAAGCACTAGAGCACTTTCCATCCAGACATACTGACTGAGTCCGATTTCTGAGGTAACTTTTCAATAGATCTACATATATTGGTAACAAGAAGAATAATTGAATATTAAAAACAAAATCATGAATATTTCAAAGAAAAAAATTATGATAATATTTTGCCTGTTTTGTAACTCGATAGTGCGTTTCCCATAAGATGCATACTTCATTTATTAAATTGATGGATGTAGACGTTACTACGTGGTAGGAAATCATCATGAAAAATACGAATTGAATCCTTCTATGTTCAATGTATAAGTTTGAAAATGTCTTTATAGGACGAAACTGCAGTAACGTTAGTTACAAATAAAAGTGGTAAAAACAAAGAAAGTTTCAATTCTCATTTTGCATGATACTTCATTTATATTCTTTATTTCATAGTTAATAGTTTCTGATAGGAAGACTCACGCCTCATGATAATTATAACAGGAAACAGGGTCTAGATCAGGAAATACGAAAGAAACGCGTACAAAACGTTTGCCATTCCAAAGAACATTCCGGGCCAAACATTTTCCTTCTATAAATCACTCCTTACGCCATTAGTTACGCATTAGGCGTAGTTAAGCGACATGTAAATCAAAGAAAATGAACTCAGCGTCGTGTGTTTCATTCGGAATGCTGAATTGAAAGAGATTTCACCTACAACACAACAATACAAGTTTCGTATTTGAAAACACACTGTATAGTCAGTGGGCATACTTGAAGGCTGGTTATAAATCAAATCATCTAAAGGAACCATTTGTTCAGGCCAGTCTCAACTCCGTACACTGTAGGTAAATAGACTGACACCTATCACTTCCCTGGCTAATACCAAGAAGGACGTTAGATTATATCCGGATAAGTGTCAGTCCATCAACTAACAGTGTAGAGAGTTGAGATTGGCCTGAAGGAATTGTTCCTTCAGATGATTTGATTTATAGCCAGTCTTCAAGTATGCCTACTGTGAATGGGCATACATGAATATGTGAAAAAGTTTTTTTCCTTATACGAGGAATTGAGCAAATTTCGGATTTGTGGTGGGTTACCTCGTTCACAGGCAGATGGGGCGATGACAAACCTGTTTTTATTTGTCGGCTTCAGCCTAGTTCGAGGAATGATACTCTGAAGGAATTCAATTTTCAATTATCGGAAATCATCGACTTTATGTTGATGATAGACACTACCTTGCACTGACGAATGGCCAAACAGCCCGAAATTGGCCTGCAAATTTGTTCCAATAGTTGAAAATATCTTGCGGCAGTTGTATCACCAACAGCAGATACAGGAATAACTTCAGTGAAAAATCCTGCACTGACACCTGTCGGATATAATCCAACGCCCTCAGTGATATTAGCCAGGAGAGCAGTTGTTTTCTGATAGATGTCAGTCTATTAACCTACAGGGAGTTGAACTAATTGTTCGTTTAGATGATTTGAAATTTACATCAAGTTTAGTTTGATTTCAAACTCCACCATCGAAATATTTAATGAAGCTGTGTTACAGAAAAAGTAACAATAACCTTTTATTATTCGAATGCAGTTTTCAAACAATTATACTCCAAGTGATTTACCAAAAACTTATTCTAGCCGGGAAACAATTTAAAGAATAGGTTCACAAGCCTTTAGCGAAATGATAACTGTTTCGACGACATAATATCTCGTAAAATGCCGCGTAATGAATATTTGAAAAATCCTAACTTTACATCGTCAGAAGTCAACATTTTTAATGTGCAACAATTAATTCTACTTGAAAGAGCTTAAGCTTCTACAAAACAATACTAGAAACGTATACGACCTGCTAGCTTTGATGTATTTTTAATTTATCCCGTTTTGGAATAACCAGATTTGCACGACTAATTAGGGTACTAAACTGCTGTTGGATATTGTCATGAGAAAGTTGATATGCTTCTGGGATTGTTGAAATGAAGATTGCATTTGAAAGGCTCTCAATTAATTGTATATTTCACAATGGATACTGGTTATTTGTCAATTTAATTAACCTACCATTACTTTTACTCTGGTTTGGCCAGTCACGTGGTGTCATACAAAATTGACGATATTAACAGGTGGATCAAGAGATATATTGAAATATTGTTAATTTTCTTCACTCTGTTACTTCAACACCATAACTTTTTCTCGCATAAACTTTGTTTTTCTTACTTTATTTAAAGTCGCATGAACCTCCAGGATTATTAGCGACTGAGCAATGCATCAGTTGCAGTGGTATTATATAAGATTTAACAAGTTAATATTTTCCAATAACTTTACAATATTGTCATGCCGTGAGTTAGTCTTTCACACATAGGGCTGGTGTCGCCGACAATTAGGTATCCATGGGTGAGGTGAGGTGATAAGTGATACTATGACCTAGGTTTCCTACTTGTCCTACTTGTCGAGATGTTTCCATGGAAGTACTCTGGAAGGTTCACTGCAAGACCCATTAAATTTCACAAAAAGGATTTGAAGCTTTATATCTTCTATTAATTATCTGCGAGCGCTTTCGACAGCTAGTCGTACTGTCATCTTCTAGGCACTCCTCAAACTGAACTTGTCATCCTGTCGTCTGCCTCTTTATAAGGTCTGAATTTCTCAACTCAGGTATTTCAGGTACTTTAGGTAAATTTGCCTGTATTTGTACTGCATCAGGTTAGATCTTCTCTAGAAATGTGTATGGTTTTGTTTAATATACTGAATGTGAGGTCTTGTTGTGTTTTAATTTGTACTTGTTCCTCGATAAGTGATTTATGACTGTTAAATTTATGGATGTTCAAGTTTTCCCAAATGTCCATGCGGTTTCCCTTGTTGATTTGTTTTATTAGTTTTATGTTCTCTGGTGGGGGGAAATTATGTTTGT